AAAATGAAATTAAAAAAAAAAAATGTTCCACTATGATCTACTTATTCTGTATTGTAACTCAGCTTCATGCTGATTTGGTGTGCTATATTGGATTGGCCGATATTTTGCATTCTATGCGCATTTTGTCATAGGCTGGAATGTCTTCATTCGCTGATCCAATCAATGACATCATTGATCTGATCTGTAAATGAAGACATCACAGATTCAGTGTTTCACACATATATATTTATCTATGGCTTAAATGAATTTTGGCCATCACTAAAATATTTTGGCACTAGCTGTCAATAGGTAACCGTTATATGAACTTTTGCTATGTGGAGATGCCGCTCTGCTCCTTTGTGTGCGTCCTGCTAATCGATACTCATACCAATTTCCTATCTGATACCAAACTGAAAATACAGTACCGTATTTTCCACATTATAAGGTGCTTCGGAGTATAAGGCGCGCCTTTAATGAATGGCCTATTTTAAAACCGTTTTCCACATTAAAAGGTGCATACAATCGAAGCTACAATAGTGGCTGTGGTTGCGTTATGCATCCAGTAGATGGAGCTATGCTAAAGGGAATACAATACAAAACAACTATATGGAGCTTTCACGACCGCTGCAGCTGTAACAACCCGATTCACAGAACATTTAAAATACTACGTTCTAGATATCAAAATAGTGATCCATATAAAAGGCGGACTGTCGGCTTTTGAGAAAAGTGAATGCATTTAGATGCGGAAAATACGGGAAGTAAGATAACTGACGTATCTAATAAATCTTGGCAGTATCGGAGGCATCGACAGCTCAAACGGTTAGCGCACTGTAACTTTTGTCATGTATGGTGGATGACCACTTCCCTTTGTTGTTCAGTCTGTCACCTGGGGGCGGCTTTGTGGAACAAGCATACTAAGTGCCAGCTTTTGTCCATCAACTAAACTCAACTCAACTGTATTTACAGAGCACTTTCAAACAGCCATAGCTGCATACAAAGTGCTGTACATGGAGCAATTAACATATACAATATACAACAATAAAGCAATAATCAGTAACAAAGATGGTAGTAGGCACCAAACAGTAAAACTAAGATCAAATCAATAACATCAAATCAAGCTCTCTCTGTCATTCTTATCAATCACCGTTTGGAAATGTTAATTTTCACTTCTAAGAGGACGAGTGATGATTGACATGATAGGAGACAAGTTACGATATACAGTGCCCTGCAAAAGTATTAGCCCCCCCCCCTTGAACTTGTTGACCCAGATCAAATTCAAAATTAAATTCGATTTACCTTTCCAAGCACTTTGCCAGAGTTTGCTCTGAGGGGAAAGCTGTCTCCTCCTTTCTGCAGTGCTGATATCTATGAAAGAAAAAAAAAACACGTATACTGGAGGTCAGAAACATAATTAAGAATTTTAAAAAACAGTTACTTTATGAAAGGTATGACTGATTTGTTTTCTTTATTCTCTGGTTCTTTTTGATGCATGAACTTTTCAATACCAACATCTCGCTTCTAAAATGAGAAAAATTGTGCTAGAATGGCCTTGGGGTTTGGTCTTGACGTCGGGGATATCTTCATTAATATTTGAATTTGTTTTTTAGTAAAACACTTTCATTTACAACATGATGATGCTTTACAAACCAAGGATAAAGCTAAACCATTTTATATGGTGAGGTGAGTTAAGGCATTTATACAAACCACAGAGAAATACCTTCATCTCATCTGGACATGTTTAACCCTATAATGCCATTCGTATCATATTTGATAGATGCAGTTTCATTCTGTAACTCATTCTTTATAGTACATTAAATCATCTGTATCAAATTTGATACTGCAGGTTTAAAATATGATTTTCCCCAAATTTTCTGTTTTTGATGTAATCTACGTGATGCTTATAAATGTGATACAACAAATATCTAAAACAAAATAATATGGCAAAAATATTTTTGTGGATTTTGTTATAAGGGTTAATGAACATCTCAGTTCCCAAAAATCAGATTTTTCTGGCTATTCCTTGATAGGTCAGGCATTAAAGGGTTAAAACCTTTGACTGGTGTCAGAATTAGAGACTCTTTACTGTCCCTGAAAGGGAAATTATTGTTGCAGCGGGAGCATATACAGGACAAGGCACAAAAAGAGAAAATAAGAATTAGAAAGAAAAAAAAACAGATTCAAAACAACAACAAAATGAAAGGAAACATTGTACTTGTACAGGTTGTTGCTAACATCTATTCAATCCAGAGCTAATTCCATGAAGAGACAATTATCAGCTACTGCAAAAAGTGCAACATGCAGATGTGCACATAAGCAATGGGAACTAATAACATGAGCAATCTAAAAGCTAGCTGCAATTAAATTAAAAAAGAAAAATGCACTTGAGATTAATCAAATCTGGAGCCTCCTTGTCCCCCTCTTAGGAACCCTAAAGCAGTCTGGGGGCAAAGGCTCAAATTCATTTTGGAATTGATGATTTTGGATTTGACACATTACATATTGTAAAAGGTTGCTCAGAAGTAAAACAACTTGAGCCTGAAACTTACCTTCCAGATAAATTACCTGAATCAAAAAATAAAAGAACCGGTCAAATGTAATTTTTCACAACAGCATGGGGGAAATGAGAGCATTTCTAATTCTTGGAAAAGGTTCACGTATTAAAGAGAATTCAAGGAACCGTCTGCTAGAGTTGTCACGGCGACACAACAGTGGCTACCAGTGTGCTATCGCATAAAACATGGCTTGTATTTTTCAGTTATTCTGAATGAACATATAGAAAATGTCATAGAAATTTCAAATTTAGTCCAACCTTTGACACTGAAATTAAGTGGTTAGCACTGAATAACAATACAAGAATACGCCTAACAGAGCCTAGGACAGCAAATACAGATGTTTCCGAACCTTGATACTTTATCTCGCTGCATCTCCACAATGAGTTTCCATGAATGAGAAGGATAATCTCAACTAAATAGTTGATTAATTCCAGATTTTCTCACACACCACTGAGAAAAGTATGAAGTCAGATGTCATGATGTGGAAAGATGCTGGTAAGAGTTCCTCTTAGGTTTTTGCGACTTTGATTTCTTGTGATTTTGCTGGACTTTATTTGAATGAGTTTTTGAGTTAGTTTCTCCAGTGTATTCCTGTTTGTATTTTTGTTAAATACATTTTGGTCAGCCACCCTGCTCCTCCCTGCCTCCCTGCTTTTTGGGGTCCTCCCAACTACCACCTCGCAAAACGTGACATGTACACCAGATATAAATCGGTTTGACGCTGCTGATTAGTTGCTGTTTCTTTGAATTTAATTAACTTGGACAATTTGGCCATTGCAGAGTTTTTACATGTTGTTGTATATTAATAAACATTACAAAAACTACAGTCGAATCCGATACTCCCACTGAATTGAACCAAATGAAATTGTTACATTTTAAAAGGGTAAGATCCTTGGACCGAATCGTAATCCATTTATCGAGAATCATTATGAATCATCTTTTGTGGGGAGATGCATGCCTCTAACACACACACACACACACACACACACACACACACACACACACGCACATTCATTATCTGAACTGTTTTGTTTTAGCCTCACGAGGGTCGCGGGCGTGCTGGAGCCTATCGCAGCTGTCTTTGAGCAGTCGGCAGGGTACACCCTGAACTGGTTGCCAGCCAATCGCAGGGCAGACACACAAACAACCATTCACACTCACAGACACACCACAATTTAGAGTGTTCAATTAACCTACCATGCATGTTTTTGGAATGCGGGAGTAAACCGGAATACCCGGAGAAAACCCATGCAGGCAAGGGGGGAACATGCAAACTCCACACAGGAAGACCGGAATCTGCCATTACACGTGAAGGAATCTGCTGCACAATCCATGTACTGTATTCACATACAACTGAATAGCAATGCACAGTAAGTGTTATTAATTGCAATTTGGTATTTCAGATGTGCTTTGAAAATAACATTCTCAAAAACTGTAGATTTTGTCAGTGATAAAGACAATACAGTGTTTGTGGATGACACCAGAGGTGACAAATGAAGCCTGGCACAGTATTTGGGAACAGGTGTGGAATAAAACAGTGTCAGTAGAGTGGACTGAAGAAAGGTTTAAGTTTAGTGCCTTGTCTTTTTCTGCTGTGCACGTTCAACCCGGCTGCTGTTGCTTTAAGACGCCTCCACTACCCTCCCACTAGTTTAACAAATCATAATAACACTTTGATGAAATAAAAACACATACCGGCAAGGATGAGTTAGCTACTGTTTCTGATTTTCAAAACGGGTGTGCATTTCCTTGCAGTGGAAAGCAAAAAGGATCCTGAAGTGTGGGAACACAGCACAGCCTAGTGGAAGCAAGTGAAGGGGTGGAGGAAGGCGGGATCAGTTCAGGTCAACCAAAAGATGTTTTTTTGCCTCCTACTGAAAAACGTGGGTGTTTTAATAAGACCAGATGCTGTCAATGCAATATCTTATTTGACTGTTCACAGGAGGGCTGTAAAACTAACAGCAGTTCTCAATACTCGCGTACCTTGTTAAGAGTTATCAGCTGCTGGAATATTTCCCGGAATACACAGAGGAGTTGAGTAATAGATGAGCTGTCGTCCATTCACAATGAAGTGTAATAATCTTACTCATCATCACAGGGCAACAATTTCCCCCTACGGTATCTCCAATTATCTAATTAGTTGATGTATCATGTGACACAGCCATTCGTTTTCTAATCCGCTTATCCTCTCAAGGGACATAAAACATTTGAATTTAGTTGCCACAAAAAAGTGAGAATTTGCTCTTCTTTTTACTAAAATACCCTCTTTGCTTTCTTCAGTGATGTTATTACCTTGGTTGAATCAAAAACAATAACTACGCATTTACCTTTTTCTGGCTCCTCCATTGAAACGCACTGAAAGAAATTTATGGAACAAACACAACAAATTTCCCCCAAAATGGGACAAAGAAGAGCGCAAATACGAAAAGTAGTAACTAGCAAATAGTACACTGTCCAGTGACATAGCATTTGTTAACAAACTGTTCATTTGTTCCCTCAAAGGACTGTAGGATCAACTTGAAGCTTGACACGATGGATTCGTGAGGTGGTTTTTGTGAATTCGATATCCTTGAAAAGTTGCTTCTTTCAGTTTTGTTGGTTTTTATAGATTTGGATTTCAAGTAAAAAATGTGAATTTAAAGTTCAGAGGGTTAAGAATCAGTTGCCTTCATGGCCCTTGCAAATTCATTTTGTGGAACTCTGATTTTCCCGCTCTGGTCCACCTCAATCCTGTCTTAGTTTGCCCTTTTTTACATTATTAGCCACAGGCCTTGTGTCTATTTTACCATTTTCATCCATCCTACTGGCTCCGTTGTTTCCCATGTACCCTTGTCTTGTCGTGCCTTTTGTCTACTTAGTAACTATAAGTTGTCTTCGAGGCAATACGAAACACTATTATTCTGGCATGTGACGCATTTTATGGCAGATATCTTACTTGTAAAATTACTGTTTAATTTTAGGTGACTTTCATACCATACGGCATGTAACAGCCATTCAAGAGATCGAAGGTGACAGGGTTTACATACCAGTGCAGAGCTTTGTTATATTTGTGCTGATCTCTTAATCACAATTCATTGGCATCACAGCTCCAGAATAGGAGCTGTTGGCTTAGCGCTTTAGCAGATGACAAATGCATGTGTGCACATGCGTGTTCTTTGGTACCTGTCTAATTGGCTCCGGAACTCTGAACCGGCTGCAGGAGTATGTGAGCTGAACAGCTGTATCCAGACTGATCTTGTGGCCAACTGACACATAGACTGGCTTGGTGCTCCTGTCTGAGCTACGCAGTGCCTGTATGAAGAGTTGAATGGTTATGAAAGAGTAAAATGAAATTAAAAAAAAAAAATGTTCCACTATGATCTACTTATTCTGTATTGTAACTCAGCTTCATGCTGATTTGGTGTGCTATATTGGATTGGCCGATATTTTGCATTCTATGCGCATTTTGTCATAGGCTGGAATGTCTTCATTCGCTGATCCAATCAATGACATCATTGATCTGATCTGTAAATGAAGACATCACAGATTCAGTGTTTCACACATATATATTTATCTATGGCTTAAATGAATTTTGGCCATCACTAAAATATTTTGGCACTAGCTGTCAATAGGTAACCGTTATATGAACTTTTGCTATGTGGAGATGCCGCTCTGCTCCTTTGTGTGCGTCCTGCTAATCGATACTCATACCAATTTCCTATCTGATACCAAACTGAAAATACAGTACCGTATTTTCCACATTATAAGGTGCTTCGGAGTATAAGGCGCGCCTTTAATGAATGGCCTATTTTAAAACCGTTTTCCACATTAAAAGGTGCATACAATCGAAGCTACAATAGTGGCTGTGGTTGCGTTATGCATCCAGTAGATGGAGCTATGCTAAAGGGAATACAATACAAAACAACTATATGGAGCTTTCACGACCGCTGCAGCTGTAACAACCCGATTCACAGAACATTTAAAATACTACGTTCTAGATATCAAAATAGTGATCCATATAAAAGGCGGACTGTCGGCTTTTGAGAAAAGTGAATGCATTTAGATGCGGAAAATACGGGAAGTAAGATAACTGACGTATCTAATAAATCTTGGCAGTATCGGAGGCATCGACAGCTCAAACGGTTAGCGCACTGTAACTTTTGTCATGTATGGTGGATGACCACTTCCCTTTGTTGTTCAGTCTGTCACCTGGGGGCGGCTTTGTGGAACAAGCATACTAAGTGCCAGCTTTTGTCCATCAACTAAACTCAACTCAACTGTATTTACAGAGCACTTTCAAACAGCCATAGCTGCATACAAAGTGCTGTACATGGAGCAATTAACATATACAATATACAACAATAAAGCAATAATCAGTAACAAAGATGGTAGTAGGCACCAAACAGTAAAACTAAGATCAAATCAATAACATCAAATCAAGCTCTCTCTGTCATTCTTATCAATCACCGTTTGGAAATGTTAATTTTCACTTCTAAGAGGACGAGTGATGATTGACATGATAGGAGACAAGTTACGATATACAGTGCCCTGCAAAAGTATTAGCCCCCCCCCCTTGAACTTGTTGACCCAGATCAAATTCAAAATTAAATTCGATTTACCTTTCCAAGCACTTTGCCAGAGTTTGCTCTGAGGGGAAAGCTGTCTCCTCCTTTCTGCAGTGCTGATATCTATGAAAGAAAAAAAAAACACGTATACTGGAGGTCAGAAACATAATTAAGAATTTTAAAAAACAGTTACTTTATGAAAGGTATGACTGATTTGTTTTCTTTATTCTCTGGTTCTTTTTGATGCATGAACTTTTCAATACCAACATCTCGCTTCTAAAATGAGAAAAATTGTGCTAGAATGGCCTTGGGGTTTGGTCTTGACGTCGGGGATATCTTCATTAATATTTGAATTTGTTTTTTAGTAAAACACTTTCATTTACAACATGATGATGCTTTACAAACCAAGGATAAAGCTAAACCATTTTATATGGTGAGGTGAGTTAAGTCATTTATACAAACCACAGAGAAATACCTTCATCTCATCTGGACATGTTTAACCCTATAATGCCATTCGTATCATATTTGATAGATGCAGTTTCATTCTGTAACTCATTCTTTATAGTACATTAAATCATCTGTATCAAATTTGATACTGCAGGTTTAAAATATGATTTTCCCCAAATTTTCTGTTTTTGATGTAATCTACGTGATGCTTATAAATGTGATACAACAAATATCTAAAACAAAATAATATGGCAAAAATATTTTTGTGGATTTTGTTATAAGGGTTAATGAACATCTCAGTTCCCAAAAATCAGATTTTTCTGGCTATTCCTTGATAGGTCAGGCATTAAAGGGTTAAAACCTTTGACTGGTGTCAGAATTAGAGACTCTTTACTGTCCCTGAAAGGGAAATTATTGTTGCAGCGGGAGCATATACAGGACAAGGCACAAAAAGAGAAAATAAGAATTAGAAAGAAAAAAAAACAGATTCAAAACAACAACAAAATGAAAGGAAACATTGTACTTGTACAGGTTGTTGCTAACATCTATTCAATCCAGAGCTAATTCCATGAAGAGACAATTATCAGCTACTGCAAAAAGTGCAACATGCAGATGTGCACATAAGCAATGGGAACTAATAACATGAGCAATCTAAAAGCTAGCTGCAATTAAATTAAAAAAGAAAAATGCACTTGAGATTAATCAAATCTGGAGCCTCCTTGTCCCCCTCTTAGGAACCCTAAAGCAGTCTGGGGGCAAAGGCTCAAATTCATTTTGGAATTGATGATTTTGGATTTGACACATTACATATTGTAAAAGGTTGCTCAGAAGTAAAACAACTTGAGCCTGAAACTTACCTTCCAGATAAATTACCTGAATCAAAAAATAAAAGAACCGGTCAAATGTAATTTTTCACAACAGCATGGGGGAAATGAGAGCATTTCTAATTCTTGGAAAAGGTTCACGTATTAAAGAGAATTCAAGGAACCGTCTGCTAGAGTTGTCACGGCGACACAACAGTGGCTACCAGTGTGCTATCGCATAAAACATGGCTTGTATTTTTCAGTTATTCTGAATGAACATATAGAAAATGTCATAGAAATTTCAAATTTAGTCCAACCTTTGACACTGAAATTAAGTGGTTAGCACTGAATAACAATACAAGAATACGCCTAACAGAGCCTAGGACAGCAAATACAGATGTTTCCGAACCTTGATACTTTATCTCGCTGCATCTCCACAATGAGTTTCCATGAATGAGAAGGATAATCTCAACTAAATAGTTGATTAATTCCAGATTTTCTCACACACCACTGAGAAAAGTATGAAGTCAGATGTCATGATGTGGAAAGATGCTGGTAAGAGTTCCTGTGCATTGTGGGCCAGAACGATGAAAGGCGCTTCCTGGATGAATGGGACGTCCACTGAACTATGAATCATCAAAGCGGAAAGACAACAAGGAGACAGGGAGGTTAAAAGGGGCTACAGATCTCTGCTGGAATCGGTTGAGGTTGGTGTGTTTTTGCTTTCATACTGTGAGAGGAGTGCAAGGTGACGCAAGTACCAGGATCCGTGGCACAGCAGCAGACGTCAGAAAGGAAGCAAGACCTCATCGACATGTTGGTTTGAATTCGCACTCGGTTCGTGTGACGAGGGTTGGAGAAGGGTGAGAAGAAGGTTGATTAAGATGTTAAAGACTGAAAGAAAATGGTGTCGAGGGGAGCAAAGGACAAATGAGGTTTTTGGAAGGTGAGATTTTCTGGGTAAATGATGGTGCCAATCTGGCTAATGCAAAACATTGAAGGATTGACTTTCACGTTTTGTTCTTCGACTTCGAGTCTGTTGGGGCCAATTAAAGTCAGGCCCACCAGGTTAAGCAGAAAGGAGATTTCTCTGTTCCCCAACAGTGGCCTGGTCATTTATTTGCATTACCACCGTGTGCCA